TAACAACAAAATTTGAAGAAACATAAGTATATTATATTTTTATGTAAATAGATAATGTACCCTCTCGTCCTTTTTTTCTTTTATTTAATTTTTTCTTTTTTTTATTTAATCTTTGTTAAGGAATGTGAAGTAATTTTGTTGTAAAAATGAATCTATACTGGTTCTTGTTAATAATAATAATAAAACAAAATCACTACAATATTCCCACAGCATGCCGTCAATCAAACTATTATTATGAATTATTAGATATTAGGAATTATATTAAGAAAAAACATTAAAAGCAAGAGGAATAAAATAAATTAAAATTAAGACAGTTTACTTGTTAATTTTGGGTTTACAGATAATATTAGAGGTCCCTTAGAATTGTTTTTGATTTACATTTGTATTGCAGTACTGTTTTAATTCGTTAATGAAATGAAAACAAATGAGTTGTGTATGAAATATTCCCATTGTAACCATTAGTTGAATAATAGAAGTTTAATCCTTTTCTATTGTTTTCATTCACATTATATCAGAGTCAGACCAACTTACCTCGTGCGAATGTCCTGTAACGAAGCGTTGGGTGATGAATATTAATGAGAACAATGTTTGAATTATTTTTGTAAATAAAGACCACGTTTAATACACTGCTTTTCCACTAGATGGAGACCGTCAATAATCGGTAGTAAATCTGACAACACAGATTTAACATATCAGAATGATATCCGATTAAAAAAATTAAATGGGGCAAACATTTTCTCAAAAATCCAACATCAATCTGGAATTTTATTCCAAATTATAAATTTTCTAAATTTGGAGGGTTTAATTTCTTATTACTCTATAACTGTTGATAAAATACCAGCTAAATTATCTTAATTTTATAAGCAATTTCATCTTATTAGCAATTTCATCACTATTATACAAACACAACGTTTCTCCTCACAAATATTTTATTTGGAATAACCAAAATATTGTATACAAAAACAAATTTCTTTTCTTTCAAAGCTGGTTTAAAGCAAATATTCTGCTTGTTAGTCAATTATTTAACTCAAATTGCCATTTAATAAATCATAATACATTTCTTAATTGATTCAATATTTCCATTCCCCCTAAAAAATTTGCTGTTGTATTGTCCTTCTGTGTTTCCTCTTTTAGACCCTTCCACAATGGTTGGAAAATGTTGTTTCTCAGCAACTTCTTTAAACAAATCAAAAGTTTTTTATTTCTTAATGGAACTGTATCACACTCTCAGAAATAAAGGTACATGAGCTGTCACTGGGGTGGTACCATTTCAAAAGGTACACATTTGTACTTAAAGGTACCTCAAACAAATCATGCAAAAACAAGCATCAAATCATACATTGATCGAACATCCTTAATCACTGTCAGATTCTCCTTTGCCAAATTTTTCTGAGTCATAGCCTTAAAGGTGTATTGCACACATGCAGTGGTGGAAAGAGTACTGAAAAAGCATACTTAAGTAAAAGTACCATTACTTGCCTAAAAATGTAGTGTGAGTAGAGGAAAAGTGCCTGTTGTAACTATTACTCAAAGTAATATACTACTAGTATATTTAGTAATATACTACTAAAGTAGACCTTTTAAAAGTACTCAAGAGTGAGTATTATGTGGCTAAAAGTTGATGCATTTACATGTAATTTGTGGATGTGTGTGTGTAAACGTAACATTCTGTAGTGCATTTAGTGATTGTGCAGCAGGCACACAATGTCATAAGACGTTAATATTAGGTTAGATTTAGGTTGTGATGTCAGGTGACCAAAATTCAATGTCTAGTCAGTGTCTAAGGACAATGTAATTTTGATATCCAATAATGACATCAAATGACGTTGATATTTGGTTGATTTTAGGTTGATTTTAGGTTGTTAGAAAGTGACCAAATCCAATGTCGAGCCAACATCTTAAACCAACATCCTATTGACGTCAAATACTGACATGTTATTCATTAGTAATGGCAACCAGAACTCAACGTCTGATAGAGGTCATAGTGGTAACGTTGACACAACGTCAAGCTGTAACATCTTTAGACGTTGATATTTAGTTGGTTTTAGGTTGGACATTGGATATTGACATCGGGCTGACGTTGAGTTCTGATGTAAACCCGATTTTCATTTCCAAACAAAATGCAGCGTCTCCATGACATAAGGGTACAATTTCAATCTGACATCATGTTGACGTCTTGTGCCTGCTGGGTGTTTAAGGCCATTTTGGTCATCATACAGTAAACATCCATCATCTTCTCATTAGTGACATGCATTTAAACCAGGGGTGCCCATTCTCAATCCTGGAGTGCCGGTGTCCTGCAAAGTTTAGTTCCAATAACAATCAGACGCACCTGGGCTAGCTAATCAATCTCATACTAGGCTTACATCCATGCAGGTGTGTTGAGGCAAGTTGGAGGTAAAATCTGCAGGACATCGGCCCTCCAGGACTGTGTTTGGGCATCCCTGATCTAAACACCCTAGTAGCAAAGAATTCTGGCCCAGATTTGGCATAAAGCTGGCACAGCAGGCATTCATCCGGCACTGGCATACAGCATGTGGGCCAAACATGGCCCAGGTTTGGCAGAGGTGGCACCGTTTTTAAGGCGACACATAAGATTTGGGCCAGATGAAAAACGTAGTATTTGGCCCAGATTTAAAAATTTGATAAGTGGGCCATGTGAGTTTGGCCAGTCTTGACCCACATTTAAAATACACTAAAATCATTTTTGAGTAAAGAAAAAAAATTCTACCAATCAGGTCACTTTGGGAAAAAGCGTGCCCATAGTGTGCCTAAAGCGCATCACTCCATGGGTTTATCAATTTCATTGCTATCGTGACGCACCAACCTATCTGGCCCAGTTCAGGCCCAGTTATGAGTTATTAACTTGGCTGAGATTGGCCCAGATATGGTCTGTGTTTGGCCCTTGTCTGGAAGCCAGATTTGGTCCAGTCATGTATCGTAATTCACTGCGGCATGTGGGCCAAGCAAAACCTGATTGTGTGGGCCAGAGCTGGGCCAGAGAAATTTTGCTATGTGGGCAGTCTCTGGGTCAATGCGTGATATTGAACATCTTCTTGGACACTTAATGCTTCCAAACAGTTTGCTGCAATGTAAAGTGCACATGTCTTGAAGTAGTTCATTATTATTTACCTTCTATGTGTGATTTGATTGGACAGGAATTACAGGACGGATTTTTCTAACTCCCAAAGACAAAATAAAGTAGTGACTGCAGGTTGAAGGAAAGTAGTGGAGTAAAAGTACCGATACAGCACTAAAAATGTACTCAAGGAAAAGTAAAAGTAGACATTTTTAAAAGTACTTAGTAAATTACAATTTCTGAGAAAAACTACTCAATTATAGTCATTTGGGTATTTGTAATTAGTTACTTTACACCACTGCACACATGTGAATGATAACAACTTAAACTTGCTGTTTCTGAAGTTTTATTTTCTTTCTAAATAGCAGTTTTAGCATAACAACTATTAAATATATTGGACTGAGGACAAGGACATGAGTTTAGTGTAAAGTGTTTTTAATAAAGAACAAAAATCTGAGACCTAAATAAAGGACATATTCCTTTAGAACAACTTAAAGAAATCAACCATCAGTCCATTTTAGACATTTTTTTGGGATAAAATACTTTTTATTCAGTGTATTTATGCTTTTATCTCAGGCACAGATAGTGTACTTTTCTGGTAGAATGTCCCATATAGCTATTTTTACAGTGTGCTTACTGTGCTTCATTGTGTATCCTATTATGCAAAGACTGACCGTACAGCACGCTTGATGGTTTATTTTGCTGTGGTGATTCCAGATTAATAAAGGGACTAAGACGAAAATACAATAAATGAATGAATAAAGTACAAAAGGTGCATTTTAGAACTGTTGGGCCCGTGGCTGGAATAGGACCCCAAAATACAATAGTATCTGGATGCAGCTTTTATGATGCAAGCTGAGACTGCATCACTCAGCGATGCAATGTCAGAGACAATGCACTCAAATGGAGCTAGTGACATCACTGTGACTGTTAGGGTTAGGGGTGGGGTTAGGTGAGCCCATTAAAAAGCATTGGATGCAGCCCAGATTGCACTGCACCAGGTCTGCAGCCAGACCCCTCTCCCAAAATCACTAAATCCCTCCTGCTTACATGCAATCTCAGATCGAATAATCAAAGTAGCGTGGTAAACATACCTGCCAACATTTGTCCCTGAAAATCTGGGAGATTGGGGGGGGGGGTTAGGTTTGGGGTTGAGGTGTCTGAATAACACTGCTGCAGACCGGGTACTGTGTACTGTGGTGTTAGTAGCTAGACTATGAAGTGTGTTTCGGGCGACCGCTGCAATCAGATCCTACACCAATATTGGTGACCAAGGGGTTTTACAGGGGGGGAGATGGTTGAAATTGCTGTAGCTTTCCGGGAGAAATAACAAAACGGGAGGGTGGCAGAAAATGTGTATGAAATACGGGAGACTCCCGGGAAAAACGGGAGTGTTGGCAGGTATGGTGGTAAACAATATGGGACAGTTTCACAAGTTGTCACTGTACGAATGTGCGAAAATAAAACCAACTTTACCTGAATATCACAGTGTGCTTACTTCATCATACCGTACGCATCTTAATAGACTGTAAAAAATGACAAAAAGTCATGAAAACAAATATTTAATGTTACTTTAACTTATTTAATCAGGTTTCAACAAAGTTTGACTTAATATTTTTAGTCAGTTTGACTGATGTAAGTTGAGATGACTATACAAGTTCATTTGATTCAACTAAAATCATTTAGGCAGCAAGTATTTTGTAGTGTATGGACTGAGTGTATGTCTGACCGTACAGTACAGTCGCAAAATATTGCAGAAATGTACTGGCGTGGCGCTGTACAGCCCTGAAAATGCTTGCTCTGCGGTTCTGCATGCGAACACATACTGCAGAAACACGTTGGTTTTCAGACCCGCCATTAAACCGAAGCGGGAGCGAGCAAGTGAGCGAGCGAGCGTCTGCACATGCGCAGTCGGGGAAGTTTCGAAGTTAACTGACTCTCCGGGGTGTTTCAACAGGAAGGCGGACATGTTGGTCGGGCAGTGGGAGAAAATCGGGCACCCTCTATATTTTTTTCTCCTTTTTGAATAACAGCATCGATTGAAAGCTTGATGTATCCGTTTAGCTACGGCTTCGTGGATTACATACATGTTGGGAAAGTACAAACCGGCGCGCGGAATAGAGGAGGTTTATCGCCGAAGGACTCGTAAAGGATCGTTTTAACCAGGATCTTGTTTTAACTGATCGAAATTTTCGTAAGGCGAAGTTTTGTCTCTGTCTCTCGCCACTTCTCACTTTGCAGCTGTCAGACTCGCTCGGCCTGGCGAGCATTTATGGACGGAGGCCTGGAGAAACTTCGTTTCTTATGGCCGCATGCTAACTCTGCACCGTTTATTTCACGTCTTCAGTGTTTTGTTGCGGGGATGTGATCAGTTTGCGTGTTTTAAACGAGCCCCTCATATCTCCCGAAGCTAAATTAGCTTAGCGCAGTATACGTTAATCTGTTGCTGCCGCTTTTTGTGTGTTGCCAAGTTGTCATGGACTAATCCGACACCTTGTCTTGTCGTTGTTGTTGTTTTGTGTGGAAAATGTGGCTTTTCGTCCCCTCTCGGTGTTGTGTACGTTTCAGCGAGAGCGAAAATGAGGCAGTAAGGCACAAAACGCTGCTTTGATCAAACTGCTGCTTATTGCTTTTGTGAGGGCAGAGGAAGTTAGCGAGTTCATTTGCTAATCTAGCCAGTAAACTCGCATCTCTTTGCACTCGACTGAATCAAACCCCCCATCCGATCAGTTATGGAGATGTCTATTGGAGAAAGTTTGACAGCTCGTTTCGAGAAGATCGATGCTATGCTGAAGGATCCCAAATCAGAGGTCAACACAGACTGTCTGCTGGTAAGTCGATCGCATTTATTACAATTATCGTATCGCTTTGTTTTGGGGACATTTGTTTTTGCTAAGTAGATACAGTTTTGAGGTAAAGTTGCTTTTACATTGGCACATTAAATCATTTTTGAACAGTGACAACTTTTGACACGGTCTATTTAATTGACTGTGAACAATATGATGCTTTGATAGTCATTGGCTGCTAATATGATTTCCCTACTTCGAATTAGCAAATAATGCATTTCTGAGATTATATTATTAATGATGAAGTTCCAATGTGTGTATATAAAAAACAACTTTACCTCATCCTAATGTATGCCAACTGTTTTATCGCTTTTTTGTAGACATTTGTTTTTGCTAAGTAGCTACTCCACAGTCTGTTGAGGTAAAGTTGAACAGCCTCAACTGCAGCACAGCATTAGCACTATACTATATACAATATACACTATACACTATATATACTGTGAATGTTGTGCTCTTGGTGGGATATGTCCACCATAATAAGGGATTCCCCCCAAAAAAATCCCAAAATTACTAAATATGTTCACTTGGAGCTGTTTCATTATAAATAAACAGTTAAATAGTCAGTAATATGTTTATTATTATTATTATTATTATTATTAACACAAGAAAAAATAAATATATGCATTAGCAACAAACACAATAGCAAACTTCAACTTATTAAAATTAATATTTATTATGATGAAATAGAATCAAGCTATCAATTTCATTAGCCGTTTCTCCACTGTATAACTTACACATTCTGATCAAAGAACAACGAATGAATCTCTCATTTATTAAGATTTTTTTTTATTACATTAAATAAGATGTGTCACTTAAAAAATGTAAACGTAATAATGAAAGCATTCGACTGCTTTCCCAACTTTTTATGCTCATTCAAGACGAAATTAGTTGTGTTTGGGGAAAAAAAAACACCAAGATCGACATTGTATGTTATTATTATTAAATATGTTTGTATGTCTGTTTAAACACGCACCCAAAAGCCAGACTTTCTCTCTGTTTCAAATCGCGTGTACAGAATCCGTTTGGGAAACAGCGTCTGTTTATCACTATGGAGCGCGTGAGCTGACAGTCACGCACTGCTATATGACTGTTTTGAGGATTGTATAGGATGGGCGACGGCACCTGTAATCAAAAGGAAATGGAATCGAGCTGTTGTTAATATTTATTTATAAGTGTTTTCACTCCTAAACAAAGCGAAAGCACAGAAGACTCACGTTTTAGAGCAAGGGGCGACCCCTGATGGTTCGGCGGTATGGGTTGCGCATAGGGAGGCTCGGCTGTTCAGAGAAAGACTGAAAATATGGGAGAAATAAGGGAAAATACTTTTAAGGGATGATAGCAGTATAGAACAGTAAAATACGGGAGAATCCCAGGAAAAACGGGAGGGTTGAAAGGTATGTTCTATTGCGTTTAGAAGACATTTGTTTTGCTAATTAGCTACTCTAGCTACAATCTTTTGAGGTAAAGTTGGTTTTTCAATCGCATATTATTTCATTTTTGGACAGTCTCAACTTGTGACAGTCTCAACATCAACACAACATTTAATTCACTGTGAATGTTGTGCTTTGATAGTCTCTGGCTGCTAATAAGATTTCCCTACTTAGAATTTGCCAAATAAAACCAGCTTTACCTCATCCCAATGTATTCCAATCATTTTATTGCTTTTTTGAGAAATTTGTTTCTGCTAATTAGCTACTCTCTAGCTACACACTTTTGAGGAAAAGTTGGTTTTACAATCGCATAATATTTCATTTTTGGACAGTCTCAACTTGTGACAGTCTCTCAACATCAACACAACATTTAATTGACTCTGAGTGTTGTGCTTTGCTTTTGCGTCAAAGTAGCCGGAAGTCATTCATTTTTAATGAGAGCCGGCGACGAGGAGCAGCGCGGCGCGGCGCGTCTTCGCCGATGTGAGTGTCGAGGGGAGTTGAAATCAAGTCAACTTAATGCTAATGATCTATGACGCGGTTTGGTGGCAAGCAATCTGAATGAAGACGTCCACCGCTTGATAGTAGTTCAGAGAACACAGAACTGTGAACTTTGGTTCCGACCACAGTTGTTCCCAAGGGTTTGATGATAGCGGTTGCCGGATTTTCAATTATTTACAATGTTTTCTTACAGGAACATGCATTAAATAAGTTACTGGCGAGTTACTGATGTTCATTAATGTTATATAAATTTATCTTAAAAAAGCGGGAATCTCACGCGATGTGACAGTACAAAACAGTATAGCTGCTTCAGGATATTTCAGACATATGGACACATATTGGATAAAAAGAGCAAAGTCACACCACACGCAACTTGATCTTTCATTGTTAAATGAATTTGATAAGAAGTGCGCAACATTTTCACTCTAGAAACATGTTTCATGCAGGAATGTAAGTGATATGCTGCAGCGGCTCCTTTAAATACGAGATCAATGTAGCGTGTTTTGACGCTCTCGCTGGCGAAGCTGAAGACAGACAGCGTTGTCGCCAGGGCGGCCAGAGCGACCTTGGACGCTCTCGCCGCTTTCGGTGTGAACAGACAGTTACTAGCCATCACAATTGCAATATCTGTAAAAAAAAAAAAAATTGGAGTTATATATTTTCCCTAAATTGCATAGTCCTACTGTGAACAGTGTTGTACTTTGATAGTCATTGGCTGCTAATATGATTTCCATATTTAGAATTTGCGAAGAATACTTTCTGAAATTATATTATTAAGGAGAACGTATAAATGTGTGAATATAAAACCTCACCCTAATTATTTGTATACTATGTTGACCTGCGGTTGGCAATTTAAAAAAAAAAAAAAAAAAAAGTGAATTACTTGCACGTCAAAGTTATTTTTTGCTTTAAGAATTTCTGCTTTGCATTCATATTCAACAGGATGATTATTGTATAGATTGCATTTTTTTTGTAGTCTTACTGTGTTTTAATATCACACCGCGTTAAGAGGTTTCTAACTGAGAGTTTCAGTTATTGATAGTGGCATCAGTGACACTTCCTAGTCTTCAATCTCACAGGCTTTGACAAGTATTATAGTAAATCCAGGTCACAAGATTTTATCCTGAAATGTGCAGTGTCAGACGTGTGTGTATGGATCTTATATATATATATATATATATATATATATATATATATATATATATATATATATATATATATATATATATATATATATATATATATATATATATATATATATATATATATATATATATATATATATATATATATATATATATATATATATATATATATATATATATATATATATATATATATATATATATATATATATATATATATATATATATATATATATATATATATATATATATATATATATATATATATATATATATATATATATATATATATATATATATATATATATATATATATATATATATATATATATATATATATATATATATATATATATATATATATATATATATATATATATATATATATATATATATATATATATATATATATATATATATATATATATATATATATATATATATATATATATATATATATATATATATATATATATATATATATATATATATATATATATATATATATATATATATATATATATATATATATATATATATATATATATATATATATATATATATATATATATATATATATATATATATATATATATATATATATATATATATATATAGATATATATATATATATATATATATATATA